TCGTGGAGGCATAACTATTGTGGACAAGAAACTTTATTTAGTATCGGGACCTGATGATCATGTTTGGATTTTTATAAAATCTTTAAAAATCAATCTTTACCCATCCCCAAATTCCAGTGAAAATGCGAGCACATTATTTCCCCGTGGAAGGACCTGCTCTGATACCAAGATTGTGACACCCGAGACCCGTATCCCGCCATACGAGTTACGTCACATGGACAACTAAAATAAAAACACAATTCCAAAAATCCGCGGGAATTTAAAACTTTTCTTTTTCAGAGTTAGCGGAAGAAAACACTCATATATACATATATGACACATTATTTCCAGTTATAATTATACATAGTCGAGTGGTAGTATAATATTATTATAAACCTTAAAAGTCTACCACCGATATAATACAACCCGTTCCCCAGAATATAAGTGTATCAAAATACGTAATTATACATGATCGGTAGTGGTACGCTGCGCGCCCAGGTCTCCGATGTCCGCTCCGCGGCTACTTCTGCTCACGACCTGAAACGTTGCGTAACAATGTCCTAAGCTAATTGTTTAGAGAGTGAACTCGGGTGTAACCCGGAGTTCTATTCTCATGGAATCAGGGAAAGCAAATACATATATATATATATATATATATATATATATATATATACTAAGAATGAAACATGGAATCACGATAATCATGCAGCAATCACAATCAAGTCCGTACGACAAGTCGTGGGACATATCCGTCAAATCGTCTCTACGCGCACCATGCGTAGGTAATGTACTCCCCTTGTGCATAGCACAACCACCTCTCTCTTCGGAATCCATCTACTCCGCAACCACTCGGATCCGGCATAAATATATTTTTTTCTCCGCCCGAATACATCACCCCACCCTAGCATCGATGTCACTCTCGATACTAGGCATGTCACCTCTCAATACCGGAGTTCACCAGACGTCGGCTACAACTGACACCGTCGAATATAACGGGAGAGCCAATCGTTGGAAATCCCCCTCGCCGACCATTCGCCGTGGAAATACTTGTCAGGTTTGTGCCCGAACCTGACAGAGTAAGTCCGTACCACCTCCTCGTGAGATCCCAATCTACCCGAATCTCAGGTATGTGTAATGCCTCATCATCGGGATAATCATATCCCGGAATCCGCTCCGTCGCTAGCGGAAACGTTGGCGCGGTTCCAAGAACCATATGGATGGCATCCGAACCGGATCAGATGGCCCATCTGATGGGATGCAATCTCGCAAACATCGTATATTCAATCGCAAACCTCCATTACTACAGTCACGCGCTAAACATTAATTCGAACCCTTTAGAATTAATGTTAACGCCATGCCAGCTACCCCAATCACACGCATTTATATAGTTTACTTATTATACATGTATTTCCGCTTGCGTAGTCTTTTATATTAATTTATATATTTTCTTTGAGTCTTTCCAGTCAAATTACCCAATTGTACCTCCAGTTTGACCTACCTGGTCCCGGTCCGTCCGGATAACCAGATCGGTTCATTCTGTGGTTTTTAAACTTACCTGTTTATTTATTTTGGGTACAGACTACGTATGGTCTGGCCTGACCCGTATTTTCGGTCTATTTCTATATTTTTATCTTTTCCACCAAATTCGCACAAACACACACCAAAAATTCTTATTTCAGTCAAAGCATGAATCAAACATCATTTAATCATGGGACACTCAAAACCCAAACCCCATGTCAATAGACTTTCGAATTAAACTCGAATTCACTCACCTTAAAACTTTTATGCTTAAGCCTTCGATGTTATTTCCTCTTTGCACCTCCGAGTTATTTACCACCTAAGGACACGTTTGCATATGATCAACTCAATATTATGTCTAAAAGTGAGAGTTTAATCAGATTGACTTATGGGTTTTGGAATTTATTGAAAACAAAAGGTTAATTTTAAATTCTTCTTTTATCTAGATGATTTTAAGGATTAAACTACAATGAAAAACTGAGTGGGAGAAATCATTTTCATTTTTTTATTTGATAATGAAATGTATAAAATATGGATTCAGACTTTAAGTTCGTCTTAGGAATTGAAAAGAACCAATATCACTTAGAAGATGATGTCGATACCTTCAAGGTTTAAAATTTTCTGAAGAAATTTTCAATCTTGGAGAAAGTTCATCATATGATAAAAGATATATATATGTGTGTGTGTTATGAAGAAATTGAAGAGATAGATATTTACTCTAGCCGCGAAAGAGAGAGGAAGGCTTTTCGGATGGTTAATGGCACGACATGATGAGGAGTGATAATTTGCAGAATTTGTTTTTAAACTTTCGTTCGAAGAGAAGAAGAAAAGGTGGTGGAAAGATTTTTATTCAATTGTCGTTAGCATTGTTTTGGGGTTAATTATTTTTATTATATGTTCAATTATTGTCCGTATAGATGTCGACTTTTATAGCCTTAGATTAGTGTTATGCCATTATTTTCCTTTTTCTTAAAAAAACAATTTTATTTACAATTGATGCACACAATGTTGTGCGTCTTACTGCACCACTTGACATAATATACATATATTTATATTTATCAATATACGCATAATTAAATATATATTTATATATTTATGCCTTTATCTCCTTAGCAATGAGTCATCATATCCTAACTAGTTTATGTAACCATGATCGTTTTTTTAATACATATTTTAAATTCGTGTTTTACATTACTATCATTTAACGTTTATAAAATAAATTAGTATCTTATTTTCTGGAATTTGTTTATAAATATATACGGCTTGTACCTAAAACCGTCATCCCCTTGAACTCTACAGTTCAGTTGAATCGTGTTTGCCCATTGTTGAGCTTTAAGTCCGATTCGGTCCTGTATTTGGTCAGGACGGTCTATGATCTAAGTTCTAGTTTTTAGAATAATTTTTTATTTTTAAATTACACTAAAACAGACTTTGCTGCATTCCACGTAAAGTCTTATATTAGTGGAATTCATTTTTATTCTATCTATAACGTCTTTTTTAACCTTCTAAAATAATTTTAAAAGCTTATTCGAGATTTGAAAATTGTACTACTCAGTTCTTTGGAACTCGATCACGATTTCTTAGTTTTATCCAATAATTTCGGGAACGGTTTGTCACAAGCACACATCGGATATCCGCAATTTTTTAGATATTCGTATCCGTATCCGATCCGTGCGGATATTATGTTTTATTATCCGTATCCGATTCAGAGTTTTCGGATATCCGTTATTTCAAATATCACCAAAAACTATGGATATTCGCAAATATCCATATCCGTAATAAAAATAATAAAAATAAAAATCCTAAAAAAACTCAAAAACACAAATAAAATATATAACATAATCATCTTAAACCAACTAAAAAACAAACACGTATATAATTCAGCACACACAAACATATTCAAAAGAACAAATGAGTTCCACTATAAGTTATGATACCATGAATCAGAGTTAAAAAATTTTTTGTCGGAAAAAAGAAAAAGAGGCAAAGAGATGTAATAATTTGTTCTAGGCCATGATCAATACGAGAAAGAAATTGACAGGCACGGAGAATCATCTATTCTATTGGTTTTCCATGAAGAAGAAAAATAAAAAAAGAAATCGATTTCCTTTTTCAACGATTTGAACGAAGCTAATCTCTAAAAACCTAGAAGACGATAAGATTGTTACTTGAGATCATCGATTGTCCGGACCTTTGGTAGAAAAATCTGTCAAGAATGACAATAATCAATCGATAGAGTAAAAAAATTGAAAAAGACGAAAGAGAGAATATAACTGTTAAATTTATCATTTCACAAAATCTACTTATCAGATAATCAAAATGAAATTTCGGTAGAGAATCTCTCAGATGCAAGATGAAGAACAAAAAAAGAAACGGATGAATTAATTTGAAAAGAGAGAGACGAAGAGATGAGTAGGAAAATGTGGATGAGGTAAAGAAAATGAGAACTTTCACAAACACAAACGGTTTCTTTGAAAAAAAACCTTTTTGTCTAGTGTTTTTATTTCTTTTTATTCAAAATGATACCACAATCATAATTATTTACAAAATTATCATATATTTATTAATATTACTAAAAGATATGGACCAGATGTATCGAATAATTCAGTTTTAATATCCGTATCCGACAAATATTTTAAAAGCCATATCCGTATCCTATCCGTAGATTTTGGATATCCGAATTTTCGATTCAGGTACGGATCGAATAACGGATCGGCTCAGTTTTTTCGGATAATATGCCCAAATCCTATGAAGCATGGCAGTTTGAAACCTCATGAATTTAATTTAACTTTATATTATATTAATTAACCTTAGAATTATCTTATTGGCACAAGATAAAAATATTGATATAAGGTAGAATATCCACTATGTATGGTATTATGTAACACTAATTTTTGTATTTGATGCATTTGGCAAATATCTATCTAGTAATTTACTAATATCCTAAGTTTGGTTTTCCGGTAATTTACTAATTTAGCATACGGATCACTGTTTACCGATGGGTCCATTAATTCATATGCATTTGAACCATTTCTCGTTCTTTACGTATTTATTTTCTCCTTTTATTTCCAATTTTCTTTGCCAATTAACTCAAAAAAATTGTAAGTCCCCCAAAAATGTGGCCAGCAGCTCGGGGGAAAAAAGGCTGAGCGATGAAAATCACAAGCGGGTCCCACGGGATGGGACCCATGTCATGGGAGGCGCCAACCAGTCAGAGCCGTTCGATCCGGTTTCATTCAATTAGGTGCAGTGGTGTTTTCGTAATTAAGAGGAGATCCAGACCGACTCTTGTAACCACCTCCAGATTATAATTTAACACTCTCCATGTGATTCCATCCACGAATCCCTTTTAATCGAACGCCGTGTCGGCACGGTGGTGACTTCTGTTTGACGCTTGTCTCCTAAGCCACACGACAACATTTAGAAAGAAAAAAAAAACTCCGTTACCGTCGCCGTTAACGTCACTGTCACCGTTGCGGCTATATTTACCGGCGCCGGGGAAGATGAGGAAGGACGCTTCGCCGCCGGTCTCCACTACCTCCTCCGCCGTCGGGAGATTCTTCGTCTGCTTCGAGACGAAGCCTTTGGTCGCTACATTGGTCGCTCTCACTCTCGTCATGCTCATTTGGAACCTTCCTCCTTACTACCACAACCTAATCTCCACCGCTCGTCCCTGCTCCGCCGCCGTTGCGACCGTAACCACCACCGGAACGTCCCTCGCCTCCGCGGCGTCGGTGAATTCGAGTGGGTCGTACTCGCAGAAGTACTACTCCGTCGCCGTGAAGCCCTCAGATCCGAACAAGCGTGTTTTCCAGCCGCTTGGGAACGCGGCGGCGCTGTTCGTGCTGATGGGAGCTTACCGCGGAGGTCCGACGACGTTTGCGGTGGGGGGG